CTATAGGAGCACTGGCCTCCAGTACCTGAAGCACTTTGAAAATGGGACCATGACTTTCAAAACTTTGGGCATGGGGAAAAGAACCCTCTGAAAGCCAATCAATGATCCAGGGCTGGGATTTTCAAAGGGGCAACAGGAGTCTGGGGCCCCAGTGCTCTTGGAAACCCCAACCCTGCCCGTGATGGAGGTACCTAACTTCAGCTCTGCCAAAAAGCTGAAAATGGCTGCTTGGCAAATGCCGTGTAGTTTAAAACATTCCGGGCACTTTTAACTTAACTTCTTGCTAGCTGGCCCTAACTAGAGACTAAATTTCTACCTCCATCACTGTCTCCTCCAGTACCGTCTAAGATAAATACCATTATCCTAAAGTACCACCATGCAGCTCACTTGGTACTGCTGCAGCTGACATGCACACGAGCCCTGAATTAACGCAACCAGCTATCATGGTCTAAACAAGTGCCATCTGCCTTCACCCAAGCAGATCCCATGGAGTCTGGTTTCAGACATGCTGAGAACCAGCAGCACCTCCAGACTTCAACAGAATGGGGGAGTGTTTGTATCTTTCTGAATTCAGCTCCTGTACTGAGGCACCTGTACAGCCATATCTGAGCCTCTCAGCATGAGGGTGCATCTCTTCTCAGGGCAAAGGGCCAAAATGAAACCTAGGCACTACATCAGCTCCTCTCTGAACCTGACTGCAGGAGTAGGGCAGCAGACTGCAGGGCCTTTGGGGCAGGGACCAGCCTGAAAGGACCAGCAAGCTTGTAGGCACAGTGGGCCAGGGAAGAACAGCAGGAGGTAATGGTAGTGATGGAGAATGGCCATCACAAGTGGGAGCAGCTGTGGTCAGGTCTCTGTACCAAGGAGCATCCAGCTGCTGGAGCTTCCTGCTCATTACTCTCATGACCGCTTGCCTGCCTGGGGAAGCGGGCAAGCCCTGGTATTTTTATTACATCCCAGTTTGCTGCCAAGTGCTTGCATTACCGGCAGGGAGGAGGCCCCATTCTTTCTTCTGAAGCGCCGAGGAGATAAGATTGGATAGTTAAGAAAGATCTTTAGAGAAGGCTGCCAAGCTCCAGGAAGCTTGCCGTGCACGGCATCTCCTTCCCACAGCCGCCCCGGGCGCCATCTCGGCTTGGCTCTTCCCAGTCAATCCAGTCACCAGGGGTCTAGGCGCAAACTGTCCTTTTTGCCTTTCACAGTGAGGCTGCCAATCTTCCCAGAAGCCCTGGATCAGAGACCCCTGAACACTAAATTTTCTGCTTACATGGCGAGGGAGGTGGCTGTTTTCAACCCTGTAGCACAGGCAGGGAAACAGAACAGCAGAGAGAGGGGAAGCCGCTTGCACAATCCCACAGCGAAACAAAGTCAGACTTGGAAGTGGAACCCAGGAGTCCCAACTTCCAGCTCCCCTGTGCTGCACCCCTCAGACCTCTTCATTCTCCATCTGCCAGCTCCTCTGGCTGAGTCAATCAGGAGGGGGCAGCCGTGTAATGGTGTCACCACTGGGTACCGTGGTGACAACAGTGATGTCCCAAGCCCCAGGCCGAAATGGGAACTCCAAGCTGACTCCAGGGGACCAGAGGGTTCAGCACAGACAGCAAGTTTTGATAAGATGGCTGCGGATAAGCATAGTGGGAGGGTTTGACAGCTTTCTGGCAATGGTCCTCATTAGCAAGGTTTGATCAAGGGTCACCATCGTTATTTTAGCCCCTGTACTTGGGAACAGGGAAACCACATAGCCTCTGAATCACAGCCCCCAGAACGGCAAGGGAGGACAGAGCCAGCCCTTCTTGCGGAGCTCCAGCTGTAGTTGTTATAGACTAGACACGATCAAAGTGCTCCATGCTGGAGATAACCTCCTGCTGGGCTACCCCGACCTGCTCCATGGAGCCCTGCCACTAGACCAGCCAGGGGAGGTGGAAGGCTGCAGCTCTGATTAATTATTCACTGTCCTGTTCAGGATGAGCAGCCCCTGTCCTCCCGCGGCTGCTACAGCTTATCTCTGTTCCCAGCGTGTTGGAGGAAATGCAGGAGTGGGCGGAAGGAATGGCCTAGACTGGGCACCAGTTCCTCAAGGCTGCTCTCCCTCCAGAGGCTGTCAAAGCCAGAGGTGGGCTCTGGCAGAACCATGGTTTAAGTACACACTGCTTTGTTTCCACATCCCTCCCAGCACTTCAGCCTGCCCAGTAGCAAAGCCCTTATGGGACACAAGCTTTACATATGCTGAAGCTGCTGGTAGTCTGGAACACATGTCCAGCCTGCAGACAGGAGCTGGAAACCTACCACAGAGCTACAAGGGGCATTAGTGGTCTCCCTGGCACAGAGCAGGGGACTCCTTCACCTCCTGCTGCCTCTTCTGCAAAGGAACCCAGTCTATGAGAATGAGACCAAGGCAAGATGTCAAGACCACCCTGGGACATGCCCAAGGTTGCACAGTGAGTCAGTGGCAGGTTAAGGAAGAGGACCCCAGTTATCCTGACTCTCAGCCCTGTGTTCACATTACAACACTGCCTATTCCTGTTTTAAGAAAAGAAATAAAAGTTTTGCTATTCAGGTCTTACTCATTTCTATTGCTACAGGGCTTAGGACTAGGAGCCCTGGACCAGGAGCCTACTGTGTGAGGTACTATACAAACACAGGACAGTACTTTTGCTGGACACCGTCAACATCTGCAGCATTTGGGATAAACAACATTCCCCTGAGACCCAATCTTAGCCAGTTTTGAGCTGAGTTTCCATTGATGCCAACCCCTGAAGAGTCCCGCAGAAAGGTGGATGTTTCTAGCTGGGCCCAGGTGTGAATCTTTCCCATTATTGTTCTGTACTTCAGCCCAAGGTACAAAAACTATCCACTCCATTTAAAAATAGCTGCCTTCAGCCCAAACTTTTCTGGGGATGTCAGTGCAGAACTGGCTACTTGGGGCTGCACACACAGCATCAGGCAGAACCCGCTGACAGCCAGGAGGAAGCATTGCTAGCTACCTGTATGCAGTCCAAAGAACCTGCCGCATTTAACTCTGGAGAGGCTTCCCTTCAGGGGCCTGACAACATCCGCACTTTCATTTTGCAGCTATGCCCTCTCTGCTTCCAGCTTCGCACACCACCCAGTCAGCTGGACCCAGGCTGGTTCATATTTTAACACCTATTTTAATCTATAAAATTAGAAAAATATAATAACCAGAGGCAGAGCAGCCCTGTCCTCCATGCCTGGAGCTCTCTCCAGCCATTCAAAATACAGTCCATAAGCAACAATCCAGCTGCCCTTACCCCCCACGGGGAGAGAGCGTAATAACCAGCACCAGCCAAGCAGAGCACAAATGGAGCCCAGTGCCCTCGCCCTCCTGCTTTCACCACTGCCTTCGCCAAAAACCTGAGCAAACAGACAGATTTTGCAGCCTACCCAGAAGCCAACAGATTTGGGGCGCTTCGCATCACAGAGCAGGGGACTGGGCTCCAACTCCAATAGGCTCACAGCTCCCTCGCATTCAAAGAGGAGAGCTTCAGCTCATGCACCTCTGTGCATGTCATCTGCAGAGGGACAGCGAGGAAGCTTGCATCTCTGCCCCTCTTGGCTCCTTGGAACAGAGCTTCAGGACATTCCAGCTCCCCTTGGACAGCTGCCTCTGGTCAGGCTAGCAGGACCTGGGTCTCCATGGCTCTGGGACCAGTGCTGTTATTCTTTTTTTTTTTTTTTTAAAGAAATGTTTTGTGTTCCAAGCCCAATCAGCCAAAGCAAGTGTTGTTATTCACTCCAGTGCAAGGCACACCCGTTCTGACCATGCAGGAGTCATAGATTTCATAAACATTGGGGGTGGAGGGGCCCTCGGAAGATCAAGTCCCGCCCCCTGCCCCAAGGGCAGGAAGTCAGCTGGGGTCAAAGGATCCCAGGAAGATAAACATCCAAATGTCTCTTAAAGGAGTCCAGAGTAGTCTGTTCCAGGCCTTGGGGGCTTGGACAGTAAAGAAGTTCTTCCTTATGTCCAGCCTGAAATGGTCTTGGAGGAGTTTGTGACTGGTTGAGCTTGTAATCCCTTGGGGCACTCTGGTGAACAGGTGCTCCCCCAGATCCTGATGTACACCCCTTATATACTTATAGGCAGCCACCGGATCACCCCTGAGCCTGCACTTTTCCAGGCTGAAGAGTCCCATGGTACTCAGCCTCTCATCATAAGGCCTGTTCTCCTGCTCTCTGATCATGCACATGGCTTTCCTCTGCACTCTTTCAAGCTTCTCCACATCCTTTTTAAATTGTGGAGCCCAGAATTGGATGCAGTACTCCAGCTGCGGCCTCACCAAGGCCAAGTACAGCGGGAGGATGACATCCTGGGATTTGCTTGAGAAGCATCTATGGATGCAAGCCAGAGTTTTGCTTGCTTTACCAGCTGCGACATTGCATTGGTGGCTCATGTTCATCTTGTGGTCAGTCATGACCCCCAAGTCCCTTTTGGCCATGGTGCTAGCAAGCGTAACATTGCCGAGCCTATAAGCGTGCTGCAGATTTTTTTCCCCCCCAAGGTGGAGTACCTTGCAGGATGTTCTCTGCTACCCATCTGCTTTCCTCCCAATTTTCCCACGCAACTCAGTTCTGGGCCGGCAGCACAGTTGCAATGGGCCAAATTCTACCTTTGGCTGCAGTGGGGCAAATGCATTCACTGCCCCCAGGACAGCCAAGGATAAAAAGCAAGAGGCAGGAAGGAAGGAGCTAGGGCATCTGGGCTCTTCTCCCAGCTCTGCCTCTGTCCTGCCTTTGTTCCCCTTCTCCCCCGTCTGACTGGGGCAGGACTGCGTCTCAGGTTACCGCAATACATACAAATTGGCCTCCTGGTTTGGTATTCCCTGTGACACTGCTGCTGGTCACCTTTCACAGTACACATCTCCAGGAATCCCTCCCACACCTCACTTCTCTCTTTTGCTGCCTTCTTAACTCTGGCCTCAAATGCAGCAGCTAAAACTCAGCAGCAGGAGGAGGACGAGGAGACACAAATCGAAGCCACTTACTTCTCGTAGTCATGCTTGCAGTACAGTTGCCGGTTGCGGCAGTAGCAGGTGCCTGAAAGTGGCTGCAGACAGGCTGTGCACTTCACGCAGCCCTCATGCCACGAGCGCTCGTTGACTCGCAGGAGGAAGCGGTCGGAGATGGGCGTGTCACAGCCGGCACAAACCTCCCGCATTTTGGAGTCCGATCCTGGGCAGGGAGGAGGAAAAACACTGGTGAGCTACAAGAAGGTTCCCTTTGTAAGCAAGAAGGACTGTCCTGAGGACTGAGGTTGAGGCCCCTCTGGGCTGAAGCAAAGCCAGACCTCGAGAGATGCCACATGTGGGACTGTACATGTGAGGCAGGGACATGTTCTTAGAGCCTAAAAAATACATGAACATATTTGTCCCACAGATACAAGCAGTCTCTCCTGAGACCACCCCCAACACCCAACACTGCAGGGATCTAGGGCAAAGTGCATCCCCCTGGTGACTCAGACACAGTGACCTGCCAAAGCTCCATGTGCCCTCTCTGCTAGGGGCACTCAGTGGCAAACCAGTCAGATTCAGGATTCTTTTTTTTCCCCTGGACGTTATCACTGCGTCAATCTGTGGCTACCCTTCAAAGGCTTCCTCATGATGAGTCCAGGGGAGAGGAGTGCATGGGGGCAATAAATTCATTATCTGGGGCCTTGGATCTGGGCTTCAGGCTGAGCCAGGATGCCTCAGCCTAGCATGTGCCGGCTCCCTGCCTGTCACACCGAGCTATGCAGGGTGTTGGAAACACTCACCTTGGCCTCAGGCCTAGGTGCAAGTTTTACCCCACACAATTCTTAGGGCTGTGTGAAAAGGGGGTGCCCAGCAGAATGGGGACAGGCACGTTCCACAAAGAAAGGCCACAATCCCCCCTCAGGTAGAAAGCACTCGCAGGCCCTGATCAGCCCTTGCAGGCTCCTCACACTCCATGAGCCTCACCTCGATTATCTGCAGCAGGTTACTAAGGACAGGCCCTGCCCAGGCTGCTGCTGCTGATGTGCGAGACAGGAGAACGTGGGGGCCAGCTCCCTGCCCCCCTGCACCTCATGTAGTGTTAGTGTCTGGATGTGGCAGCACTCCACACACACATCTCTGCACTCGCTGTGTAGAGAAAAGCATAATATACAGGAACGTGGACAACAGAAACCAGGCTCTGTGAGGTCTAGATTGAACCACTGCATCCTAGATGGAGCGGTCTCTGGGGCAGGGCCTGCTTCCGCATTATTTGTTTGTGCAATGGAGTCCTCTGGTGTTGCAGTAATAGAAATAAACCGTAATTACTGTAATGCTGGTGCCAGGAGAGCCTTTACTTGGTGTGTCCTAGCTCCATCTCTGCTACATCACAGCTTTAACTTGGGAATAATATTGCCTCTGCCTGTTAGGCAATTACTTCCTGCTGTATCTCGCTGCTTAAGCAGGATTCTTTACTACAGCACGGGAGACCTCTGCTAACAGAAGCTGTCTCCCTGCAAGGCAGTCAGACCCACAAAACTGCCAGCACAGAAGAAGCTGGGCAGATGCGTGCGTACCTCTCCTCCCAGCCAGCTTCAGAGGAAAGTGAAGGATGGCAGGAGCAGGGAACTGTTTCATTTGACAGAGAGCTCCAAGGGAGAGATGGTGATCCCACCACAGGGAAGTCTGTGCAAACTGGCAGACTCCACGTGGCCTTTGGGGCCCTTCCACTGCCAGTTTGTCTTCCAAGCCCAGCAGCTCAGGGCATCCCCAGTGATCCTGCCATTTCCGGGCACAGGAAGTAGTGCTTCCTGCCTGTGACGGCTGGACTTGCGCTCTCCCTGGCATGTTCCTCCTTGCTTCCCCCCCCACCCCTCCCATGTTCTCTCCCCTGATTGCATCTTCATGGTTTTCCTACCCCTGTGCATTTCCCTCTTCCCTTCACTGCTTCCTCCCCCCAACTCCTTCACTTCCCATGGCCCTCTTTCCTACAACCACTTTCCCCACCCCACAGCCTGCCTCTGTTTTCTAACACCAAAGCAGCCGGGAAGAGCCTATGTGTAAGCACACAATGCATTTCAACCACACAGGCCACACAGCAGACTGTGTGTGCACATGCATGAATACATGCACATACATGTACACACATGGCTGAAATAGCAGATGAGTCTGCAGGCTGGGGTTGAGAGCCTGGTACAGTGAGTCTTGGTAAGCAGGACTAAAAGGTGGGAGATACAGGGCGGGCAGAATGGGCAACAGGCAAATTGCAAGGGTAGGGGACCTAAATGGAGGAATCTTACTAAGCATCTTCCTTCCCTACCCTTAGTGATAAATCACAAAAAAAAAAACAGCTGGAAGGAGTGCAAACCTGCAGCCAGAGCCACGGGAGTAGAGGCAGAACCTGGGAATCTCTTTAAGCTACAAGCTACTGGCACGTTACTAGCTTGTAAGTGCATCGTTATTATTCCACAAAGCAGGAGAAATGCATTACAGAAGTAAAACAAATTTTGTCCTTCAGGGCTTGTTACTCTCGTCAGCGCTCGCGAGACCAAAGCGACTCCCCGCACACTGTTGTGTAGCCAACAGTCAACATGGGGCTGGGACTGCCAGGATCTGAGCCAGCTCCCCCAGCTGATGTTGCAGACGTGCTGTCTGCTTGATGCAGTCCTGAGCAGGACTGCCAGGATGGCTACTCAGCATCTCTGCCGGCAGCAAATCGCAGCCAGACCCAAGACAAGCCCTCTGCAACATTCAGCTCCCCAAGATGCTGCTTCACCAAATGCTGCAGCTTGGAAGTCAGAGGGTGGCACCAGTTGGAGAGAAGAAACTGAGATCGTTCCCCCCCACTTCTCTCAGAAATGGCCCCATCCCCTCAGGCACCCTGGGGGAACATCTTGTAAAAGACACAGGAGGCAGTGTGCCCAGTCTGGTATATCCCTGGATGGGGACCTGGGGTACTTGTACTCCAGCTTGGCTATAACCCAGCATGTAGCACATGGCAGGCTCTTTTCCTCCATCCTTTTTTGGTCTTGTTTACTTGGACTGCAGGCTCCTCTGGGCAGGGAATGCCTCTCAGGGAGAGCAGGACCACACACAGTTTTTATGACATTGCAATACATGGGTAAGGAGCGTAATGGTTTACCCAGGTAGTTAGACCTAGACAAGCTCCCATGTGGACACAGCTGTAACAGGGCTGAAGTACCACACACTGGTTGAGTTCATTCTCCCTTCCCCTCTGGGAATAGGGCAAGGTGCTTTCTTCAGATGCTGCCTTCTGACAGCAATACACACATCATACATACATTTAAAACCCAGATAAAACAAAACATGCTGCTGCACCCAACCTTACTGCTAGGGAGATTATGAGAGAATAAGACCTGTGTAGAAACAAGGCTTGTGTACCTCACGCAGGGTCTGCAGGCCCTACTGCTATGCAGATGATGAGGATTCCCTACAGGGATCATCCACCTGAATTGTAAAGCCAGTAAGAAGTTATCTAATTAACAGCTTTAACAGGGCAAGAGGAGAACTTGTTTTTTGCATTCAACGTCTGCTGTTATGCACTGTCACAATCCCTCACCCTCTCATTCCTGGGCTCCTAAGCCACAAGCCAAATGACCCCTGAGCACCATACAGTCCAGACCTGCAATCATAAGCTCTTTCAGCCAGGGAATATTCCTAGCACCCAGCAGGTGCTGCCACAAACCAATAATTAGTTAATAATGGCCCCTATCCTTGCTGCTGCTAGCACTCCCACAAGAACCCTGGCAGCTCCACTGCAGCTGATCAGAATCTCTCCAAAAGGAGTCCAGGCTGAATGACCAAACCCTAGCAGAGGGAGGAATTTTAGGGGCAGAGTTTTCAGATGGGCTCATTTTCTGGATGATCAAAGATGTTAACCTTCAATTCCAACCCTCCTGCCCTGTGTTCCTTCTTCCCTTGCCTGACTCAATGCACCTTTTCTCTTATTAAAACACCCAACACAGTTCAGAAAACAAGGATGTTTGCACATTTGGAAGAAAAGCAAATGGAATTCAGCCATGGGGCTCTCTGTTTGGCTATCAGCATTTCTTCTGCCCTGTTGGATTCAGCTACTGCCAGGCATGCAAGTGGTAAGGGCCCCAGCAGCAGCATGACAGTACCAGAGCTGCTGCAAGGCACTGTGATGCTGCATGGCAGGAACAGAACAGCTTTAAAGGCCCAGTTCAGAAAACAAATTCACAGAAGTTTAGGGGTGGAAGGAACCTTGTGAGATCATCAGGTCCAGCCCCCCTACTCTGGGCAGAAAAGACTGCTGGGGTCAAATAACCCCAGCAAGGTGTGCACTTAAAAGCACTTAAGCCTAATCTAGACCAGTGATTTTCAACCAGGGCACACTGGGGTGCTGCCACAGGAAATCTGAGGAGATAAGTAGATAAGGACAGACTCAGACTTCTCCTGCCCCTACTGCCTGACCCCTCTGCAAGGAGGTAAGTACTGTAAGAAATAAATCCGTTTTTGAAATGGGGTGCCACTCAATTCACAAAAGTCATGGAGGGGACCTTGAGCCTAATGAGGGGGGTCTTGAGTCTAAAAAGGTTGAGAACCACTGCTCTAGGCTCAGGTTGAAGTGTCATTGGCTGAACAAAGACAGATTTAAGCAGGTGTCTAAAAGTAAGCACCTGCTTATGTCCTAAACATTCAAAGAGGAGCAAAAGGCAGGTGCAGATAATGACGGGAACTGATAATGATAAGGAATTGGAGATAAAATGGTCTGGATCAGGCTGAGGTGTAGACACAGGAAACAAGAGAGGCCTCTGTTTGAAGTGGAAACTCTCAGCTGTGGCTGCAGCATTTGCTTACGCACTCAAACAGCAGCAAGGGTCAAGCACGGGAGAGATTCCTTTGCATTTTGTAGAGGGCAGTACACCAGGTTGTTGTTGTTTCTCACAGGACTGGGACTGGGCTGGGAAGAATCTTGTTTTGCTTCATGATGAACTGATGGACACTATGGAAACATGGAGGGTGGCCAGTGTTTTCTTACACTGCCGAGTTAAATTTGAATGTTACACCTAAACTGAGTCCCACTCCACACAGAACCTGAATTCATGCATGGCCACCCTACAATTAGCACAGTTCTTTAGCTGCTGACACCATAGCCCTGTCCAGCCCAAAATTGGCTAACTCAGGTGGGGTTAACTTGAAAGCCAGGAAGTGCCCCTAAGTCCTGCCCAGGGGTGGAGATGGGAATAGTGACGGAGCAGGGAGAAGCACTAATGGCTAAATGCAGATGCCAGATTCTCAATCACAGCTGAATTTTCAGGAGCTTGGTCCCACCATGGCACCTAAATAAAAAGGGGCTGGGCTGGTACAGGTGCTAAGAAACAAGGTTGACAGCTGTGTGGTCACAAGCTTGAGGTCACAGCAGAAGTGCTCATGGTGTGATTGGGAATTCTACTAAATACCTTGTCACAGACATACATACAAAAAAGGACCTAAATAAAAGTCAGATCTCCCAGACAGTTTTTTTCTTAACATGCACCTTGTGGTGCTGGGCTCTCCCCCTCAGTCCTCATCCAGAACCAACTAAAAATTGATGCCGTTGTTTCTACAGAGAATTTCTACTTTCCAACAAAAATTCAAACACTGCTAATACAATATTTTTGATTTATAAAAGTCATCACCACCATTTTCTGCCGCAGATACACACTTCCCACAGAAATCACCATTTAGTCCCAATCCGCTCCTCTCTCCAGTCACTTTTCCAGGGCGTGATTTACAGCCAGCGCCATGCTCAGCCCACTTGCTGAACAGCCCTGCAGGGCCAACAGGACTTTCTGTGGTGGAGTGGAAGGCACCTAATCTCTCTCACAAAGCACAAGCTTCTCTCCAACTCAAGAAATGTGGATTCTGGTGGGAGATGCTTTAAAACTGAATTAGCCCTTTTGAAAATGGGACAGATCTAAACAACAGAGAGAAAAAAGAAACAAATCAGAAAGCCAAAGGTCTGTGAACTTGAATGTGGTTGTAGAGCCTGGGAGATTCACAGAACTCCACGCTCGGTGAGGCTTGCCCCTCCCTGCTAAAAAACACACTTTAGGTTATATTAAGTAACCAAGTGAGCTGGTTGCCAAGGATTACGGCTTGTGGAATGCAACAGAATCCTGCCCGTTGCCAACCTATATTGTGCTTCACTAACACTGGCCGTGTGAGCAGACCAAGAGCCCAGGGCATGAGTTATTACCCAGTAGTAATTCACACCTGGAGCTTTGTTGGGCACAAGGCCAAGAGCCCAGCAGTCACTTAAGCAGGACACAAGGGTAACAATCCCATTACTTGATGCAGGATGCAAGGCGTGTTGGGAACACCAGTTGCCCCTGCAACACCCAGCCTCTCTTAGAAATGGAGCAACCTCAGAGAGGGCTTGACTTGCAAGGGGACAGACACAAAGAAGCCTCTCCTGTTTGAGACCCTGCAGGGTCTTAAAGACTGTGAGGGGAGGAAACTGAGGCTGCCCTGAGGGTGAGGATACAGCCCTTTGAAGCACACTTACACAGGAAAGGTTAAAAATCCTGTTCCAGTCCCCAGAGTGGGAGACTCATTGGAAAGAAGCCAATTTCCAGTCAGCTAATTGAGCATCTGTAATTGGACGGGCAGCCTGCTTTCAGGCATATCCTTCCAATATCGGTTTTGGTCAGTATCTTACTGGATTAGTACCTTAGTCCTGCTGGGATGTCCACACCTCGACCTGCACCCACACCTGGGGCTGGTGTGTGCAGACAAAGCCCCTAACTAGTTCACAACATACAACAGTGAAATGCACCACAAAGAATAGGGCATCACCCAGCTGTCATTACTTGCATGAGAAGAGGCCTAGAGACCCAGGACCTGACTGGGCTGGCTGAGACAGTCCCCATCCTGAAACTACTGTCTAAGGGGAGGAAAGCAAAGGGCTCGGCGGGGACTTTGCCAAGGCTCCAGCTTCCCTAGCCAGAGCCCTAAATGCAAAAGCCCCCCCTAGACTGGCAGACGTTGCCCATAAGATTGTAGGTTTCCACACACCCAGGACCAAGCCACAAACATCTGCATGCCCCGGGGTGAGATCAGAATTCACACCTTTGCCCCCAAATCAACTGGCAGATTAAAAATTAAGTGCAATTTAGACTCAGCTCTTGGGGGAAAGAGCCTTTGGTCTGTGCAAGGACAGGGTTGGGCATAAGCATCCTCCCATCAGAGTGTCATGGGGGGAAAATCAATGGGGGTGAGCAACAGAGGAGATCAGGGGAGAACACCAGGGACAGTAAGGCCTTGTCTGTTGTCACCTGCAAGGTCCAAATAGGGCTCGCAGTGCAGACACAATAAACAGCGGAAATACAAATAGCAGATGAGATCCTGACCAAGGCGGATTTGGGGCGAGCTGTACAGTGTGTGAAGGAGCCCTGCACGGGGTGCCTGGTCCCTGACCCTGCTCCTGGAAGAGCCAAAGCCAAAGCTCTGGGTTTCCCTTGCTTAGGGGCAGCTGCTGGAGCTGGCTGGAGGAAGGGAACATCCAGTCCAGGCAAAGCAGTGACCTGCCCCTCAGGGCTGCTGGTGGGATCTCCCCCCAAGCCCAGGCTGCCCTGCCCCGGCCACCCTAGCGTCTCCCGACAGCTGCCGACCTCGCAGAGACCTAGCAAACTCACTCCGTGCCCGGGGGAGCGGAGATACTCACCAAAGCCCAGTACCGGGGTGGCCTGCTGCAGGCAGGAGGGAGCCTCCTCGGTCTTCATGCTCGGAGCCGGGCGGGGAACGGCTGCGGGAGGTAGAGGCGGCGTTAGCACGGAGATGGGCCGGACCGGCCGGGCCATAGGGCGCGGGACCGAAAGCGCGGTGCTTCCCTGCACCCGAGTCCTCGTTCATCCGCCCCACAGGGCACGAATGGCCCGGCCAGCCCCGCTCAGCGCCCCGGCGGCAGCGGAGCCCGCGCTTCCCGACCCGGGGAAGGGTCTGGCCGGGGGCCACCCCGTGCTGGCCCCGGACGCGGTGGGGAGCTGCCGGAGCCCC